GATGAATACGTGTGGATGACAGAGAGGATTTTTTGATTCTCCCGTCACATGTTGTCTTTGTGTGTGCGTCCCTCTGGCTGAAGACGCCGCCTGCCTCCTTTCTCCCGCCCCGCTCCCTCCGGTCTCTTGTGACAGTAGAGGCGTAGTGGAGTTCAGTAGTTTGTGTTGCACAGCAGACACGCTGTAAGGTCGACCTAACGTGTGCTCCAGGACACTGTGCCAGGACTGAAAGCTCTCTTCTGTTTACTTTTCTCTCTTTAGAGAGCGCCACTCTACTTCTCTGGCTGTCTCTCGTCTCCCTGTGTCACACAGACAGCCTGTGTTCATCTCAGTCCAGGCGCAATGCACACATTTGATTGGTAGCTCGTAACGTTATTGGCTGTCCTTATTAGCAAGGCTCCTTACATGCTGGCTAATAACTTTTTTTAAGCTGGGTCTCCAACATTGACAGATTTGTGCAGCGGTGTTCATGAGAGAGAGAGAGACACGAGCGAGAGGCAATTTCTGCAATCAAACGCGATTTTAAAGGCGGCCTGGTAAAAAAAAAATTTTAAATCAATAATTGGCGGTCAGCGTTGATATTGTGGCGAGCCGCCACAAATAAATGAACGTATGGGAAACACTGTAGCTTCATGTGAGATGATTCTGGGCCACAAAACCAGCAGTGTACAGGCCATAAAAGATGCACCAGTGAAAAGAGAAACACTGTTGTCTCCGAATCAGAAGATGCTTTATTGCCAAGTAGTGTTTTACACATACGAGGAATTTGCTGTGGTGATAAGGTGCTACAGGCAGACAAACATACAGTCGACATAAATAAATGTAATTCAATTTTATTTATATAGCGCCAAATCACAACAACAGTTATCTCACAGCGCCTCATAAAAGAGCAGGTCTAGACCGAACTCTGTGATGCTATTTACAGAAGCCCAACAGTTCCCACCAAGAGCAGCACTAGGAGACAGAGGCAAGGAAAAACTTCCTTTAAGAGGCAGAAACCTCGAGCAGAACCATGACTCAGGGTGGGCGGCAGAGAGAGAGAGAGCGAGAGAGGGGAGGAAGAGAGAGAGACAGAGAGGGGAGGAAGAGAGAGAGACAGAGAGGGGAGAGAGAGAGAGACAGAGAGGGGAGAGAGAGAGAGACAGAGAGGGGAGGAAGAGAGAGAGACAGAGAGGGGAGAGAGAGGTGAGAGAGGCAGCCTACACAATATCCACACAGAGGTACAGACAGTAAAGGTGATGTTGCTATAGACTAAATGAAAAATGGTACAGATATTTATAATAGTGTTAATGATAACAATCGTAATGTTAATGATTATAATAACAATAATAACAATAAGACTAGTAACAATAGTTGTTGCAGCAGAGGGTGTCGAGCAGGAACACGGGGGCAGCAGGTGACCCGCAACCACAGATCCAGACTCCACAGCTCCAGAGCCAGAAAACCTGCAGGAAGTGACAGGAGGAGAGAGGAGAGGGACGAGAAAGCACAAGACTACCAGAAAGGGGAGAAGTTGTGTTAGTAACATGCAATAATGGGATGAGGTTGCATACAGAGGGAGAGAAAGTAGAGGAGAGAGGAGCTCAGTGCATCATGGGAAATCCCCCGGCAGTCTAGGCCTATAGCAGCATAACTAAGGGATGGTTCAGGACTACCTGAGCCAGCCCTAACTATAAGCTTTATCAAAGAGGAAAGTCTTAAGCCTACTCTTAAATGTGGAGATGGTGTCTGCCTCCTGAACCCAAACTGGAACCTGGTTCCACAGGAGAGGCGGTGGCAGCAGCGTACCTGATGGTGATGGAGGAGGTGAGGATGGACTCAGTGATGGCGGTGTAGAAGTGCACCATCATTGTCTTTGGCAGGCTGAACTTCTTCAGCTGCCGCAGGAAGTACATCCTCTGCTGGGTCTTCTTGGTGAGGGAGGTGATGTTCAGCTCCCACTTGAGGTCCTGGGAGATGATGGTGCCCCGGAAGCGGAAGGAGTCCACAGTGGTGACTGGGGAGTCACACAGGATGATGGGGGAGGGTGGGGCTGGGCCACAACCATCTCCACTGTCTTCAGAGCGTTGAGCTCCAGACTGTTCTGGCTGCACCAGGTCACCAGATGGTCCATCTCCCACCTGTAGGTGTTGTTTACATATTGTCTCCATGTTGTGTTCATGCAGCAGCTGTATCAGTCAGTTTCAGTGTGTCTCTCATATCTCATCAGTTCAGCTTTGTCAGGTTTCATTTTCACTCAGTGGTTTCTTAGAAATGTCCTCAGGGGAAACGTATCAGCTGTCACACACACAGGGTGTGGATCAGCTCTGCTGTATCAGGTCTTTCCAGTTTTAGAAACTTGGCAGGATGAGGGAGTTTTCTGTCTCTGCTGTCACCGCTGTCGTGTGTAGATGTACACAAATGAAACATGAATTTAAATTATAACTTGTGTGTTGCAGTGCGACCTCGTCTACACCTTCTTCCACCCGCTGCCCCGAGACGAGAAACCAGTAACAACCACCATCAAACCAGCAGGTACACACCCTCAGCAGACATTCATGTTCATGTGTTGGGCTAAACCCAAAGAGAGAAAATAAAGATCAGGTAACAAGTAACAGAAATGAGATGGAAAATCTGCCTGGTCATCGTCGTCTTGTCTGAACATCAACTCTGTGACAAACTGAAGTTTTACAGGTTTTAAACGACTGTAAACTGATCTGTAGTCTGCTTCTGTTGGCTTCGGAGGGGGTGGGTGTCTGACTTTAACACACATTGAGACAGATCAATGAAAAATAAATGAAAGCATGTTTGATAGATTCAGCGTCTCTAAAAGTCAGAGCCAAACAGACTCTGTTCATATTCTGCGAGGATTATCTGTCAGCGTCTGGAGGGTTCCAGCTCCACCGGATGTTAAAGTTTAACTGGCCCGCCCACACATGCTTACACCTGGAGAAGAGCACACACAGACTCAGGGTTTAAAGTCCGAAGGGTTACAGCCTCCAATCAGATCAGTGTGTTCAGGTCTCAGCTGGCGGCCTTCACTGTCCGTGTTCATACTGGTTTCACTGGTTGTAGAAGTGAACAATAACAAAAGTAAACACAGCCTCATGAATGTGGCCGGACCAGATGTCTTTCTAACAGCCGCTTCATGATTCGCTCTGTTTCCTCGTTGATCAGAAACCGGCAGCTAAAAGCCGGTCAGACCTGCAGTGAGCAGGTGAGCTGCTGACTGCAGGTTCATTCACAGAGAAACATCTCATACAGACTCCATTCAAAGTTAAACGTGAACCAGCAGGAAGTGAACTGAGTCTGATCTGATGTGTGTTTCTGCGTGTTGCAGAGATCTTGTGGTCTCCAGCTTCAGGGAAAGAGCTCGGCGAGGTCAAACTGTCCATCTCCTACAAGAACGACAAGCTCTTCATCATGGTCATGCACATACGAGGACTGGTCAGTGTGAAACTGTGTGTTTGTGTGTAGGTGTGCTGAGTGTGTGTTTGGACTTGTGGCTAGGTAACTGCTCCGTGACATCACAGGGTTTGTTGTCTGGAACAATAGAGGATTTTATTTATTTCATTATTTATTATAACAATCATCTGTTTGAACCGTTATTATTCAGAAGCTGCTTTGTGTGTTCATCCTGATCCAACACAAAAAGAGAAGAATCAGGGATCTGTGGCAGGACTGGCCTCCCGGCCTACCTGATGAACGTGTTCTTATTCCTACAGCAGCCCCTGCAGGATGGCACGGACCCGGACCCCTACGTGAAGCTCTACCTTCTCCCAGACCCCCAGAAGACCGGCAAGAGGAAGACCAAGGCAGCACGACGCACCTGTAACCCCACCTACAACGAGATGGTAAAACTGTACTTCCTGTCTGGTCATATGAGGCTGTTCGTCAGTCAATATGTAATTGTTTGCTATTATGCAGATGATATTAAACTTTATACCACACAAACAGAAAGACCTGACACCTGTCAGCCAATCAGAAATCAGCTGCTCTTCTGAGGAATAGAGAGACTTAGCCCCTCCCCTTCCTGTTTTAGAAATAATATGTACAGTAGTGAACGGCGAGCCGGACATGGATAGAAAGTGATTGGAGGCGAAACAATCCTGTGGCAGGAATTCTAGTTTATTAATTTTAATATTTATTAATAATCTTCTGTCTTGTTTCCTGCCCCCCCCCCCAAGCTGGTGTATGAGCGGATCCCTCAGGGGGACCTGGACCAGAGGGTGATCCACCTGCGGGTTCTTGGTGACGGGGCCTTCTGGGAGAACACTCTGCTGGGAGAGACCTTCATCCCTCTGAAGAGGCTGGTCCCGGGTCAGCACTGGGTGGACTGGCACCAGCTGGGCGCCGGCGGCTCTGACTCCGCCCACTGATGGACAGGAAACAGGAGGCGGTGGATTTAGAGGAAGAGTAGAAGGGAAGTAGTTCTCACGAGAACAGAAGACAAAAGGAGAATCCTTTCAAAGTAAAAGCCGTGTGGCTGCTCCTCCCTCTGTGTGTGAGGGGGTTTAGGTTTAGTGTCGAGTTTAAAGCCTAACTTTATTTGGGAGACGGTGGGTTCAGACTCAGAAACAGACTCAATCTGATTGGTCATTAATTAGATTAATAATTTAGATTTCATGATCAGGTCCTTTAAACTTTCATATTTTAAAATTCTCCTGGTTTGATTTTAAGATCACAAACTGTCCAGTGAAGTCGCTTGAAAGTTACACTAACTAGTTGTTTTGTTCTTGAATGAGGACGTTTATATTTCTGAACACGCTGCAGACTCGTGTGGGCAGAGAGTTCCAATATTTCTAAATGACGACATGTTTGAGTTTCCTGTTCAGATGATCGATCGACTTGTGATACTTTGATATTTTTCTTCCAGCCTGTACGTGTTGGAAGACGAGAAGTTCAATATGAATTTAATGATATCAATTAAAAGACTTCAGTATCTCTTAATCTTTCAGTCAGTGCACAGAGGCATGCTGGGTAAATCATTCGGAGAAAGAAACTTTTTTTATATACAGACGTGATCAGTGAGATTATCACATGTGAGAAAACCACCCGTCTGTGGCCAGTTGAGACTTTTCAAGGACTGAAAAGCTGCATTTATAAATTCCAGGGACCTTTCTTGCAGGTTTTTGTGTCCTGGAAGTAAAATCTTGTGATTTCAGCGTAGAGAAGAGTTTTACCTTTGTGAGCTGTACATGCAGAGCTTTAGCCTAAATGTTGCTAACAGGAAGTAGCTGCAGTGGCGTTTAATGATGTAGCGCTGTACAGACAGGAAGTGACTGCAGGATATTTTTATAGTGAGGGTGTGGATTTTCTATCCGTGGTGCACGAGAGCTTCTGAGAGATCCTGTCAGTTTGCCTTTGAGCTCGTCGTGTCTGGTTTCTTTTCAGCGCTTACTAATCTGCTCGCCATCTCTGAAGGACGGCCCGCCGCTCAGCCCGCCGCCTCTTTCTACATTTCATTGCTTGTTTTTTTTAATGCCTGTGATTTTGTACTTTTGGGGAAATATTGGTGGCCATTTGAAGCTGCCTCTGTGGCTCCTGATGATCCAGGGGCCAGCGAGTGTTGAAGGGAATAGAGTTGTTGCGCTGTAGATGAGACAAACTGAGGAACCTGCAGGAGACAGACCCACCGATCAGCTGACACGCTTCTCTAAACACGTGTCTGAAAACTCCAGAAAAAATGTTGTCCTGTAGTTCTGATGGGGACACGCGAGGGGGACACGTGACGGGGACACGTGATGGGGACACGTGACATGTGATGGGGACACGTGACAGTGACATGTGATGGGGACACGTGACAGTGACATGTGATGGGGACACGTGACAGGATAGGGACACGTGACAGTGACATGTGATGGGGACACGTGACAGTGACATGTGACGGGGACACACGTGACAGTGACATGTGACGGGGACACGTGACAGTGACATGTGACGGGGACACACGTGACAGGGTAGGGACACGTGACATGATAGGGACACGTGACAGTGACATGTGACGGGGACACACGTGACAGGGTAGGGACACGTGACAGTGACGTGATGGGGACATGTGATGGGGACACGTGACGTGATGGGGACATGTGATGGGGACACGTGACGTGATGGGGACATGTGATAGGGACACGTGACAGTGACGTGATGGGGACATGTGATAGGGACACGTGACAGTGACATGATAGGGACTCGTGACAGTGACATGATAGGGACTCGTGACAGTGATGTGATGGGGACACGTGACATGATAGGGACACGTGACGGTGATATTTGATGGGGACACGTGACATTATGGGGACACGTGACATGATGGGGACACATGATAGGGACACGTGACATGATAGGGACACATGACAGTGACGTGATGGGGACACGTGACAGGGTAGGGACATGTGACAGTGATAGGGACACGTGACAGTGATAGGGACACGTGACAGTGACATGATAGGGACACGTGACATGATAGGGACACATGACAGTGACGTGATAGGGACACATGACAGTGACGTGATGGGGACACGTGACAGTGACATTTGATGGGGACACGTGACATGATAGGGACACGTGACAGTGACGTGATGGGGACACGTGACAGGGTAGGGAAACGTGACATGATAGGGACACGTGACATGATAGGGACACGTGACATGATAGGGACACGTGACAGTGACGTGATGGGGACACGTGACAGGGTAGGGACATGTGACAGTGATAGGGACACGTGACAGTGATAGGGACACGTGACAGTGACATGATAGGGACACGTGACATGATAGGGACACGTGACGTGATGGGGACACGTGACAGTGATGTGATGGGGACACGTGACATGATAGGGACACGTGACAGTGACGTGATGGGGACACGTGACAGGGTAGGGAAACGTGACATGATAGGGACACGTGACATGATAGGGACACGTGACAGTGACATTTGATGGGGACACGTGACGTGATGGGGACACGTGACGTGATGGGGACACGTGACGTGATGGGGACACATGACAGTGTTGTGATGGGGACACGTGACATGATAGGGACACGTGACTGTGATATTTGATGGGGACACGTGACATGATGGGGACATGTGACATGATGGGGACACGTGACAGTGACATGATGGGGACACGTGACATGATGGGGACACGTGACATGATGGGGACACGTGACATGATGGGGACACGTGACATGATGGGGACACGTGACAGTGACGTGATGGGGACACATGACAGTGTTGTGATGGGGACACGTGACAGTGTTGTGATGGGGACACGTGACATTATAGGGACACGTGACTGTGATATTTGATGGGGACATGTGACATGATAGGGACATGTGACAGTGACGTGATGGGGACACGTGACATGATAGGGACACGTGACATGATAGGGACACGTGACAGTGTTGTGATGGGGACACGTGACAGTGTTGTGATGGGGACACGTGACAGTGTTGTGATGGGGACACGTGACTGTGATATTTGATGGGGACACGTGACATGATGGGGACACGTGACATG